ATAGGGGGATAAAAATGCCAGATCCAGTCTAAACATCTGGCTGACTGTGCAACCAATATAATATAATAATAAGTAAATCTCTGTCCTCCAGATGTTGCCAGATTGTAATTCACATCATCCTTCAAAACTGGAGCTCACTAACATCTGAAAGGCTGAACTTAAAGGTCCATCCTAAAGGTTCCTACTCACATTCAAGCAAGTATGAGTAGAAACCTCTTGCATAAACATGGAGAAGGAGCAAACATTCAGAGCAGAATCACTAATACACAGAAGGATATTAGGTGCAGCATTATCATTCTTTATTTCCACATGACTCTGAGGATTGAAACTTCACTGGAAATATTCTGGACTGTAGAGGTTACATAGCCACAGGAAAAAAAAACAGATTGGGGCCTGTAGACTTAATCTACTCAAGAAGCCTACTAGAGCCTTCGCAAGAACTAGAATACTACCAAAAATAGTTTTTGGGGTTTTTTTGTGGTTTTTTTTGAGAGTATTGGAATGCTACCATAGGCTGATTGGTGCATTATGGAAAACTTCCAGAAGCCCACCAGGAACCTAGATAAGTCTTGATAGAAGGCCACCTGCTAATCATAAGCAGAGATGGAGCAAGGAATTTGGTGCCTGACACAGAAGACCTAAACTACTACTCCAGATCGATAAAAATATTCTAGTTATTGGTTGTTTATTGTCCCTTTTTGACAGTCCCCTTCCTTTTTCCCAGATATGCTTCCTAAAATGGGCCCATTCAGCTTGGCTTATTGTAAGGCCAGGCCTAACATATGCATTTTAGACAACATAGAAGGATGAATTAAGGGAAGTTACATTAACTTTAGAAAGAGATTCCTTGGTGTATATTTGTTTACACTGGGCCCTTTGCAAGCACTTCGCTGCACGTTGCAATGACATGACCTCTACTTATTTAGGGGGGAACGTCATCAAATTCCCTTGTCTACTCAGAAGAGCATTTGGGAATGTAGTCCCACAGGCGTGCCTGTATTGCTGGATTGCATTTGGATCCTTTGGCAAGGCAGATAAACTGAAGGCATAGGGCAATTTCATCTCTCCTCTTCACCTTTACATGGGTACCCTAACTGCTAAAGGGGTATTTTCTAAACTGGGCCACTTCCTGATGCACGGATTTTGACTCTCAGAATTCTTCAGACTCCACGGCTCTCGCTAAGAATTTGGGGTGTTGAAGACTGCCCATCTGGAAGTTGTTCAGGTTGGGAAACACCAACCTAAGCAGGGCATGGAACCTTGCAAGTTGCTACCCACCACTTGCCATCCTCTTTCTTAAAAAAAAAAAAAAAGTTGCATCTCGTTCATGCTAATGTTTGGAAATCTCCAGATGCTTTTGTTCCAGGGTGGGGGGTTGCTTTCTGAAGCCCCAGGGCTACCTGCAGCCTTAGAAATCTTGGGAAAGCCTTGCAAATGTTGCCAGTGGGTTTTTACTTTTAAGAGGCCAGAAGGGGGAAATGCTTTAAAACATAGCTAGTATATGTATAAATTGCGTTAATGATTGCCAGGGACATTTGGCCCGCTCATGTATTTGCCCTGGCCTCATCTCCGGTTATGAATGAGATCCTGGCCCGCCTCTTGGAAACGACGTATGGTCCTCAGCCAATAAAGCCCCTGCCTGCCTGATACAGGCATGGCATCGAGAGCAGGAAGGCCAGGGAGACAGCTGATGGGCACGCTTCGTCTCTCCTACTCGTGCCCTGATTGCACCCACTTAACTAACGGAGCTGCAGACAGCATTTGCACACTCCAGAACTCACTGAGGGGAACTGAAGAGCTAATATCCGTTTTCCATTCACTTCTTGAAATGCATTTCGTTATTCACCATGATGTAACTGCTTTCCAGTTCATTTATCAATGCAGACATTCCTTCCAGCACATGGACTTGGAATATTGCTTTTCTACCATAGACCAGGAATGGACCATCTTTCCAAGCTTGGGTGTCACCCCAAGAGTCTGTCCCAAAATAGATGCTAAACTGTAATGTAGGGAGCAGGGGTATCTCCAGGGTATGGTCAAAAGAGTCAAAGTTCTGCCCATTTTTATGTGCATTGGCAGAGCTTTGACCGCATCGTCACAGCCACCATCTTGACTTTTTTGACATGCCCCGAGGGTACCCCTGGCCCATGGAAAAGCATAATGCCCTGATTAGAGACGCAGGGCCAAAGCATTGAAAGCATTTCTAGGACCAAACAGAACTCTACTGGCCACCGTGTGACCACCTGCAAGCCATGGAGGAGTTAGGTCAGACAATGTGTTTAACCATCTAAATTAAGCCTGGTTGGTTTTAACCTTGGCTTGCTTTTTGTCTGAGATTTTGGTTTCTGTCTTTTGTGGCTTAGCATGTGTTGAAAACCCAAGCTAATTTTTCACTGAATAGATCATGAACAAACCCCAAACAGGTTAAATTACTAACCAGGTTAAGCATGGTATGTGAATGTAGCCGCTTAGTGGCACTAATGCCTCCAGAAAAAAAACAGCAGCTGTAACCATGGGGTGGTGAGGCCAGATACCAGGGTCCCTAGATAAAGACTTCTAGGATTTAGAGACAAACTTGAAAGTATGTGAAATTTAAAAAGCAGCATATTGATAATTCCATGGTGAAGCTTGGGCCTGATTTGACAAAACAATCTTTGTTCACTGAATCATTGTTTATTTAGTTAGAAACAAGCATTATGTCCATGGGTTTTACCCTTGCCCTTTCCTTCCCTGAGCACTTCAACTGTGATTTATTAAACCAGAATAAACTGGCACCGCTTGCAATACTAGCTCCATTCAGTTGGATGTACAACACATTAGACAGCAGCAATTACTTTGGAGGAGACAGATATAATCTTCTGTTATAATCTATGTCTGTAAACCAGGATATGGTGGCAGTTTGATATTCTGCTTTTGATATTCTGGTAAACTGTAATTCTAAGATTACAATATGATTATAAAAGGAAAGTATGGTGTAATAAGCCACAAAGCTGGAGATAGGGAGACAAAGATGGAGTTTATAGGCTCCACTCTCGTTTACTACTGGTTCTACTATGTCTGAATCAGACCTTTGACTCTATTTATTGAACGATTACTTTCCCAAAGATGCGTTTTCCTCAATGAACTGCTTTTCGCTCTTAGAAAAAGAAAGCACCCACATTTT